TTTTTACTGAGTCTTTGGGGTTTTCTACATATAAAATCATATCGTTTGCAATTAGAGAGAGTTTTACTTCCTCTTTGCCAATTTGAATGCCTTTAATTTCCCTGTCTTGCCATATAGCTCTTGCTAAGACTTCCAACACAATATTGAATAGGAGTGGTGACAAAGGGCATCCTTGTCTGGTCCCTGTTCACAGAAGGAAGGCTTTCAGTTTCTCTCCATTGAGAGTAATGTAGGCAGTTGGTTTTTCCTTTATATTTTTTTCCTTCAAAAAATATATGCAATACATTTGTTTTACTTGTTAAATCACAATAGGTGTTTGAAATCCTTTCTGAAATATGACACAGAAAAATTACATGCATACAACAAGTATGTAATTTTTTTTTTTAAGTTTGTATTGGGAATTATGCTATAAAATACATGGGAGAACACCAGGTTTGCATTCATCCTATTGTATTTTTTTTCACTGCAATGATTACAATCTCTTCCATGCATCATCAAACAACCAAAGGGTACACCCTGCAAACCTGTCCTCCAGCCATCAGCACACAGCCCTTCTGCCTCCCTTAGTCCAGAGTTCCCAGCTGCTCTATCTCTGCACATCATTATTGCTTTCTGGTGTTATTCCTTCTCTGGGTAGGGTCCCGCACTCCACTCTTCTCACTTGATGGTCCCAGGGACCTCCGCTCCTGGCCTGCAAAATCAACTACTCCCCTTCTTTTGTTACAAAACATTTACCTTTACATTTCCAACCCTCACAGTCAGTCCTGATAGCAATTATTCACTATTGTACCACAAGAGACTTATCCCCATCTTCTTTCATCAGCCCCGTCCCAACAGATTGGAAAACACTCAATGGAGAGTCTCCTTCCCCTGCCCCCTCTGAAACTAGGCTCCCTCTTGAAAGCTCAACATGTATATCATTTTTGTAAAAACATGCCTCTTCCTGAAAATTGTCTCTTTTAGATTAAAGCAAAGAGATGACCCAAATTTTCTCAATGAGAAATACCATGGTCTCCAATTACCTCTGAAGAGGCAGAACTCACAGGGTCATTACTCAGTGTTCATGTTTTCATTGAGGTCATTTTCTTCTTACAGGCACTACGGTAGTGAAGAGTGCTACGGGAACAACTTCGGAGACCTCAACAGAACTGCTGAGTACTGTGGACAGTAAATCGAACAAAGAAACAGCAACTTTCACACATTCTTCTGTGTCAAGGGAATTGACAACCTCAATTTTAAAGACCACTAGGGGTCCAAATACAAGTAGCACAGACTCAACTGAATCATATGTATCAATAACTCATTCAACTTTAACAAGCACAGAAAAATCTCAGACTGACAGCTCACCTTCATCCATGCCTGACACAGTCACAATAGGTACACCTTCAACTCCTTCATCCGCACCAAGTGGACAAACGTCTACTGCGAGTGTTTCTCAAGAAAAACCCACCCCAGGTGGAATATCAACTGTTGTTATGGCCAAAGGGACTTCAGTAGACCGATCAGTTTCTTTCACTAACACTCTTATAGCCACATCCCTTGACATCTCAACATCAGACAGCACAATCCTTCTTTCCACACTTGTCCCTAATAACATCTCAACTCAAGAAACAGAGCCATACACAGTAAGCACTAGTCAATCCCTACCAATAAATTCAGTCTCTGTGGTGACCAATACGACGACAATATTTATGCCATCTTCTCCATCCACACATCATGAACATACTGCAACAGGAAGTGTTTCTCAGAATCTGTCTCCCTCAGGTGAAACAGCAATCTCTACCACATCAACCTCCAGTGACAGTTATCCAACTCAAAGGACAACAGAACCCCTGACAACTGCAGGGACGTCAATCACTACTCAAAAAAACACAGGAGAACAAATAGACTCTGGCATTTCTACAGCAGACAGCACATTATTACAAACCACACATCTCCTTACTAGCCTCTTGGACCAGGCAACATCAGCTGATTCACAGAAGACAAAATATCCCATCACAGAATTTATCCCCAAATCTCAAACTAGCCATTCAGTGTCCCCTACAACTGAAAATAATGAAATAGTAACTTTATTGTCTCCTTCATTTACCCCAACTAGACATTCATCTTCAGAAAATGTTTCTCAAGTTATAACCAGCTCAGATGAAACAACATTAACATTTTCAAAGACTCAACAGACTCAGAGCATGGAGACCCCTGGACAACCTCACACCAGCACAGCAGCCTCCCCAGCATCAGACGATCTCAAACTAGCTCCATCACAAGAATGACAACACCGCCTTCCTCACCCTCCCCAAGTGTACACAATCCTACAGACAGTGTCTCTCAAGAGACATCTTCTTCAGGTGGAACAACTGACTCATCCCTTTCCAGTTTCAGCCACACAGCTTTGGCTACATCAGAGTTACTGACAGCCTCCACAAGCAACACAGGGAAAACCTCACAAACTGTAAACGGAAGCTTTCCTTCAGTGACTTCTACAGTCTCAATGACAACTGGACTAGAAGGGCAATCAACACCCTCTACTGCCACCCCTACTCAGGAGACATCAGCACTTTCACAAACCCTCTGGACTCAGAGCACTGAGACCACTGGAAGATCTCAAGCCGGCATCATAACAAGAGTAACAACACCACCAGTTCCACCCTCCCCAAGTGAACACATTCCGACAGAGACTGTTTCCCAGAAGACAACTACTTCAAGTGAAACAACCACTTCAGGCCCTACCAGTGGTAGTCACACATCTCCAATGGCATCTTCAATAGACATGACTCTAGGAAACACAAGGGAAGCATCACTATCTATAACTACGAGCTTTCCTCCAGTCACTTCTAAAGTTTCAACAGCCTGGTGGTCAGGTGTGCAATCAACACCAATCTCTTTCAGCTCTTCAAATCAGAAAACATCAGCAGTATCCCAGACACACCAGAGTGAAGGCACAGAGTTCACCAGAGGGACTCTAGCCAAAAGCTCAAGTTCTGCAAGTATGTCTCAGGAGATTTTCACTGCACGTGAAACAACAACATTCCCTTCTTTATCCTCCAGGGATACCCACACAACTCAATCACAAACAAAACTACCACCAATGCTAACTGGGAATACCACAACAGTCATTGACATAGAAACCTCATCTACTGCTACAACTGCGGCTATTCTCAGAGGTAGCACTGTGGTATCAACAATAGGGAAAACAGAAGAGCCAAACCAACAGTCCTCTGTCAGTACCTCATCTCTAGAAACAACACAGACAGTTTCCCTGACACCAAGAACACAAATCACAAAGACCACAGAACAGTATCATGTCAGCAACGCAAGCTCCAGTGTGACTCACACAATACAAACATTAACATCAGTAACTCCTTCATCCATACAAACAGGATTCGTATCTCAACACTCTATAACACCAGGACCAACAAAGCATTCCACAAGAATCCTAACCAGCACTTACACTAAGAAACCATCAACAGTTTCTCAGATAGGTCACACTCATGGCTCACATTCCACCCAAGAATCTCAAACCATGAATTCCATTTCACCAATGACAGACAATCTCAAGAAAGTCACAATTCCAACTTCTTTCTTCAAGTCAAGTGGGCCTTCTCCCTCAGTACCAATTCTTCAGGATACATCAGAAGCAAGTGAAGCAACAACTCTAACCTCAGCACACTCCAGGGACAGCCACACAAGCCAGGTAAAAACAGAATCAACCAGTCCTGACACCACTCAGCAATCACTGGGTGGCTTACATCCCACCCAAGAATCCCACACCACGAGTTCAGTTTCCTCTTTGACTGACAACATCCGGACAGTCAGAACTCCAACTTTTTCCTTTAAGCCAAGTGAGATTTTACCATCAGTAACAGTTCTTGAGAATACACCAGCCACAAGTGAAGTAACCCTCACCCCAGGACACTCCAATGACAGTCATACAAC